CCATGTTGAAGGTTACTGTTGCTGAAGGTAGCAGGAATGTTGATAAGCAGGTGGAGCTGCAAACTCTCAATGAGAGTGAGTTTGAGCACCAAGGTGGAGAAGATCAACATGATGAGGATGTCTCTGCAGAGCCAGAAACTTCAGAGTCCAGTGCACGAGCTCACCAGTCTATTGCTTCCGGTAGACCGAAGAGAGTGACTGCAGGAGTACCTCCACAGAGGTATGGCTTCGAGGACATGGTGGCGTATTCATTTCAGGTTGCTGAGGAAGTGGATGCAGGAGAGCCACAGTCCTATAGAGAAGCAGTTTCGGGTTGTGAAGCTGATCAGTGGCTTGCCACAATGGGAGATGAGATGGAATCCCATGACAGGAATCAGACTTGGGAGCTAGTCAAACGACCACAGGGAAGGAAGATTGTTACAAACAAGTGGATCTACAAGAAGAAGGAAGGAATCACTTCTAAAGAGGGCATGAAATTTAAAGCTCGGGTGGTTGCACGAGGCTTCTCGCAGAGGGAAGGAGTTGACTACAATGAGATTTTCTCACCAGTGGTCAGACATACTTCGATCAGAGTGCTACTAGCAATAGTGGCACATTATGACTTGGAGCTCGAGCAGCTAGACGTGAAGACAGCTTTCCTCCATGGAGAGTTGGAAGAAGAAATTTACATGACTCAGCCAGAAGGATTCGAGGTTCCGGGAAAAGAAGACTATGTTTGTAAGCTAAAGAAGTCCTTGTATGGACTTAAGCAATCTCCGAGGCAGTGGTACAAGAGATTTGACAGTTACATGCTTGAGCTGGGCTACAACAGAAGTCCATATGATTGTTGTGTATATCACAGCAAGGCAGAGGATGGTTCGATGATATATCTAGTTCTGTATGTGGATGATATGCTCATAGCTGCGAGGTCAAAGTCTGATATCCAGAAGTTAAAGGGGCTTCTCAGTGCTGAGTTTGAGATGAAGGATTTGGGAGCTGCTCAGAAGATCTTGGGTATGGAGATTTACAGGGACAGGTCGAAGAAGAAGCTTTTCTTGTCACAGAAGAGCTACATCCAGAAGATACTGTCGAGGTTTGGCATGTCTTCAGCAAAGCTCTTAAATACTCCCAGTGCTTCAAATGTTCATCTATCCTCAGCTTATGCACCGCAATCAGAGGCTGAGAAGGAGTACATGTCGAGAGTCCCATATGCTAGTGCAGTAGGTAGCTTGATGTACGCTATTGTATGCACTAGACCTGATCTTGCACATGCTGTTAGTGTTGTCAGCAGGTTTATGATACAACCTGGGAAGGAGCATTGGCAGGCTGTGAAGAGGATCTTCCGGTACCTAAAGGGTACACCTGATGTGGGGATTAGCTTCGGAAGTGATGCAGAGTGCTTGGTGTCTGGGTATTCTGACTCGGACTATGCTGGAGATGTTGACACGAGGAGATCGATGACCGGTTATGTATTCACTCTTGGGAGTTCTGTAGTGAGCTGGAAGGCAACTTTGCAGTCGGCGGTGACATTGTCTACTACTGAGGCAGAGTATATGGCGTTGACAGAAGCTGCTAAGGAGGGAATATGGTTGAAGGGACTGGTTGGTGATTTGGGTCTACATCATGATCAGACAGTGGTGTATTGCGACAGTTTGAGTGCAATATGCTTGGCCAAGGATCAAGTCCACCATGAGAGGACTAAGCACATCGATGTGAGGTATCATTTCTTGAGGGCAGAGAAGAGGATTAAGGTGAAGAAGGTTGGCACCGCGGATAATCCTGCTGATATGTTCACGAAGCCGGTTCCACATGGCAAGTTCCAACACTGCTTGGACTTGCTGAATGTCTTGAGTGGGTGACTCCGCCCTACGGGGCATTGATGGCGGGAGAGAGATAGAAGGAGCAGAGTACATCAGAGATTTCAGAGGAAGAGGATTCAAGTCAAGGTAGAGATTTGTTGATATTTGTTGATATGACTTGAATCGGATTTCAGAGGAAGAGGATTCAAGTCACGGTGTATGGGCTCAATGTTATTTGGGTTCGGGTTCTGGGCCTGGTTTGTAACCGTTTCCTTTGTCAGATTGGATTAGGTTTAGACCCACATGGAGAAGTACTATAAATACTTCTCATACTCCTCTGTAATCTGTAATCTCCTTGATATAGTGAAATCGGCTCTCTCTCGCCCGTGGACGTAGCTAACACACATCGTGTTGGTGAACCACGTAAATCGTGTGTCGTGTTTTCGATTCTCGCTTTCGTATTCTTGCTTTGTCGATTCCGGCGATTTTCCGATCCGTAGCAGCGCGTTTATAACAAGTATGTTATTCAAATTAAGGGTTATGGATATTAAATGTCCATTTATTATGATTTTTTCAAATATAAGTATTTAATATATTTTATATTAAAAATACTCTTGCAGTTTAAACATATTATCAAATATGTCATTCTTTTAAATTTTTCATCTAAAACCGTCAACAACGGTCGAATGATTGTTTAGACGACTTGGACTTGACAAATGGGAGGAAAAACAATTCATTTATTTCTCTACGTCTCGTGTAAGTGAAACTATTAGGGGTATTATGCATTACAAAAGAAAAAAAAAAGAAAATTAAATTAAATTATGAAGGTTATGTTAGACATTTGTGTCGCCCAAACCAGTATTCGATCATGGCCTTGACAAAACGGGAGGAAAAAATTCTTCATTTATTTCTCTACGTCTCGTGTAAGTGAAACTATTAGTGGTATTAGCCATAATTACAAAAGAAACAAAAAAAAAATCAATGAAATTATGAACCCAAACCAGTATTTGATCTTGATTGGATGTTTCTCGATGAAAATTTTAATAAAATGATATGTTTGATAATTTTTCCAAAATACATAAGTATGTTTGATGTGAAAAATAGAAAACATATTTGATAACAAGTATTTATTATAATATGAATTTGTGTGCTATAATTAATTGATTGTCGGTATGATGAAGCTCTTAATTATACACGAGGCATGTATATTAATTTTTAAACTCCTATTGTGCTCTAAAATGTTTTTTAATTCTTAGTGGATTAATTATGATTACGATCGAAAATAATCTTTATTAAAATAGAGAAATTGAAGAGATAATTCTTTTTTTTTTCGTTTCAAACGATAAAATGATCATTTATAAAAAAATTTAATTTATATCTCGATTCTAAAACGGAATCACTCCCAAAAAAAAAAGAGGAATCTATAGAGTTGGCTGGACGAAACTGCTCTGTTTCAAGTCAAGCACTGTATTGGTATTAGACCAGCCCACTACATTTTATTTCTGTTTACACCATAAATTTTGTCTTGTACCACATTGGTGAGTTACAAGATAATCAAGGAGTTTATAAGGCCACACCCATTATAACAATTAATGTTGTTTAAATTGGGCCTTATGGATATTGATTTTAAGTCCAAGTCACTAGCTCATTAATGAGCATGGACATGATTCAATAAGTGACATGGGCCTCTCGTAAGAGTCATGCCATGCCACGAGATGGCATGAAAATTTCTAAGTATGAGAAGTCCATGGCCATGAATGAAGAGGCCATGCCGCCCCATGGCCAAGGCCTAATGACTGAAAAATAAACTAAGTCTGGAAGAGGTACATGCCACTTCAAGGAGAAGCACGTGCCGCCTCACAAGAAGGGGCATGGACGCAAGAAAAGATACTAAGTATGAGAGGGCCATGTTGTGTCACGAGAAGGGTCACAAACATGACTGAGAAGTCCATGGCCGCGAATGAGGAGGCCATGTCGCCGCATGAGCCAAAATATACTAAGTCTGAGAAGGCCATGCCGCCTCATGAGAAGGGTCATGTGCATGATTAAGAGGTCCATGGCCGTGTCATGTGATGGCCATGGACGCGAAGCAAGAAGAATTAGAAATGATTGAAAATACTAAGTATGGAAAGTCCATGCCGCCTCATGAGAGGGGCCTTGTGCATGATTGAGAGGTCCATGCCACCTCACGAGGATGGCCATGGACACGAATGAGAAGGTCGTGGTGGTGGAGCATTATATCACTAGTGACTAAGTCCCAAGAAGGCCATGGACATGAGTAAGAAGTCCATGGTCGTAAGACAAGAAGGCCATGGACATGAGTAAGAAGTCCATGGCCGTGAGACAAGAAGGCCATGGACATGAGTAATAAGTCCATGGCCGCGAGACAAGAAGGCCATGAACATGAGTAAGAAGTCCATGGTCGCGAAGCAAGAAGACCACGACCCCCTTTGCGAGACACTACATGCTCGTCAAAAGACTAGCATGGCACGAGATTCAGAACAAGACCAGGCGAGGCAAGATACACTCCAAAACCCACGACGGTTCCAAGAGAGGCACCTAGGTGGTTGAAGGAGTAACCACCACTCCGAGGAAGCAAGGAGCGGTTCTTTTTGGGAGTTGTCCAAGAGGCGGTTTATTACCGAAGAAGGAGGAGCGGTTCTTTGTAGCAGTTATCCAAAAAGCGGTTTTCTATGGCGGTTACCTCCTCGGGGCTATAAATAAGATGAGGGGTCGACAGAGACAAGGGTTCCAAAACCAACACTCTGACGCACATGTCAAGTTTATCCTTTACCTTTTCTCTATCATGTAGCCATAGATGTAGTTCGTAGTTTGGAGCTCTCGCCGAACCTCCATAGGAGTAGAAGTAATTTAGATCTCGTTCCCAAAAAACCATCAATCGAACACCCTCGTTCGAACTGTGTTTGAAGAGGTGTGAACCGTGTTTAGTGATCGTTGTCCAAAGAATTCAAAGGTGCAATCAAGTTATTTCAACGCAAGTTTTCTCGCAGGAAAACAATTTCATTGCATTATGATTACAACTTACAAACTCGACATACATGAATCTCGAATTTGTAAGGAAATGTCCCTTATGATAAATCACACAGTCCAATAAAATAAAAGCAAAAACATAATCTGCTACAATAGCATTAGGTAAAGACCTTTTCCTTTATTGTTTTAATTAAGAAACTACTTTTTTTTGCCACAAATTGAGGTGGGTCTTCATTTCATGACGAATTTAACAAGACCAGGAATGTGGACATTCATGATGTAGTCCTCCCAATTGATGCTCCTCGTATCCATGTTTAACTCAACCCCATCCACCTCGTACAACCCTTTTTCACTAGTCCTTTTCCTCAACTCCTCCAAGTTCGTGTCGTCGAAACTGCATGTGTAGAAAACAAGGCCGAGATGAGTTTACCGTGATATGAATGGTAAAACGTTATCATTGTTCAACCGTGAGATATCATACAATTGATTTATTGGGTACAATTTTCTATATGGTTTACCAATTCTTAGTAAACTCACCTTTGATTCGACGAATATTACATCTTTCACATCATTCATGACGTTAGTTACTTGAAGTAAACCACAAATATCGAAACCAAAGTAAATCGTGAATGTTGATTTCTAGAAAATTTACTCGTTGCACGCCCATAAAATTATCAACAAAGGAGGAGCGAAGTTGATATATATACTTACATTCCTTCGAAAAATAAAAAGGGCTTATAGAGTTTTATTAGTCGCATTCCGGACTTTAATTTCCGATGTAGATCAGCATGGTATGCTTCCCATTTCTGACAACAACTTTTACTCAGTAAGCCCATTGCCTATAATTGAATTAAAAAGAAGAAAAAAATGCAATACATGTTATAACTGTATAATATACATGTATTAACATTATTGAGTCTAATTTGCGCCCTACGCAAAATGTTTTAGCAGAAGAAAGAAAGGTAAATGGAACGAACCTTCAATGGGAGTTGAAAGCGAATGGCCATGTAAATGTTGAAAGAAGCCATGGAATTAAAAGTGGTGATTTTACCGACTTTTACGGGCTTCTCGTGGCGATCTCTCCATGGATCTTTGGAGAAGAAAGCCTGGCCCATCTTGTGAACCTCTGGCAGTCTTATTGGGTTCTTCGATGAAGAGCCCAAATGGTAAATTAGCTCCAGCTGATGGTTTGCCAACGCCATCGCCATTATCCCGATAGTTGCATTCACAACCATGTCAGCAGGTATCTGAAGATATATTGATCAGGTAAGTAAATGTGTATTGATTAGGGTATTACTTAGAGGAATTTTACATTGGTGTTATAGATTTTTGTCTCTATGGTATAATTTGGATTTGTACTTTTAACATTATGGTACAACTTTAGATTGTAGTTATACTCTTTTGTACAAATTCTTTTATGGTACAATTTGAACTTGTACCTTTAAGTGATGGTACAAGTTTAAGTTGTAAAGTTGTACCATAATACAAGGGTACAAATTTCTTTATGGTACAACCTGAACTTATACATTTAACGTTATGGTACAACTTCAAGTTGTACATTAAAGCACCAATGTTTTATAGTATAGTAGAAGTGCTCTATTACTTATTAGGGGTTGTTTGGTATATGCGTACCTAAAAGATGTATTTGATCAATGCATGTATTGTATAGAATGCATCATTTGTTTTTTTTTTTTTGGTTTCAAAATGAAAAACAATGCATGCATTTGATTGATGGTGTAACACTTGAAATCATTTAAAATGAATGATTTAAAGTCTCAACAAATTATTGAGATTGTTCTTCTATTTTTCTTTTCCTTTATATCCCTACAAATTTTTATGCATTGTTACTCTTGTATGTAAAGGAAAGGGTAAACATGACCTTTCACTTAAAAACAAAGTTAGTAAAATACGGTACGAGAAGTTAAGTATAAATTACGTACGGGTATTTTATTTCGTCTCTAATCTAATGTTACGTTTAATAGTTATAAATATATAAAATTAATTATTTTTAAAAATAAATCATATATAAAAAATAGTTAATTTAATAATTTTATTCATTAAATACGGATATTAAACGTGCTATACGAGTTTTATATGTGTTTAGTACGGGAGCCGTCAAATGAATGGAAACAAATGAAACGGCTTGACAATAATACGGATACGGAAGTTTTAAACGAATAAAGTACGTAGGGGTACATATACGTGTATTAAACGGAGTATTTACTAACTATGCTTAAAAAGCGACTTTCTCATTTCATTCCTAAAATTACAATCACAACTACCAAACAATGTAATCTTTAAATACACGCATTTAGACAATATATCGATTTACAATGAAAGTATTCATACATTACATCAATTCTAACAATCACAAATACCAAACGACCTCTAAAATCAATTATTTCTTGACATCATATTAGATAAATTGATGATCGAGATGTGAGATGTTTAAATCCGGAAACTCTCATTTATTACTTAAGCGTATGGTGTTCGGACTTCGGACCCTTGCAAATTTCAACCCATATAAATTGGTTTTCAATTTGAAGGGAGTGTGTTTTTTCCCCATAAGGATGACATATGTTTTTTTTATAATTACGTGGTACTGAAAGGATTCGAATTTGGGATCTCCAAGTTCAAGACTAGTAGTGATATTACAAAGCCATGGAGAGAGGAGAGTGGGGCAAAAGATGAGTAACTCACCAAATCAAGAATAACGTCTGGTTTGTAGACGAGGCATTTCAGTCTTCCTTTGGCGTAGCTCACAAGTACTCCATCAAGAGTTCTACATAAACAAGTTGTAAAATATTCAAAGTTATAAAAAAAAATCCCGCCACTTTAATCCTTTAAAGGTTCAAGGTAAAAAAAGAAAACAATTTTCGATTTCTATGTGCTCCATCGTATTTTTTTTTTCTCTTCAACTCCTGCTAATTGAATATCAATAAGTTGATACATATTTTGGACACACTTACGAGGGAAAACAATTCAATGTAGATCAACCGTATGTGTACGTGCTCAATTGTAGTGAATCATTATACCGTTAAAAAAAAGTGACACAAATAATTATACCACGCGGAGAAGAAATCGAAATCACTGTGATATCAGGGATATGACAACGATACGAATTTGGAGCGGGTTTCGCTAAACCATCTCCATCCACATTTTCGAAAACGTAAATCCATAACCCACTCCATGCCCATATGCGAGAAGAGATTTCACAATCTCATACTCGCAGTTTCCGGATACCCGTGAGTAATACCCGCCTCGTACGTATATGACGAGTGCATAAAACATTACCTAACACCTTCCAGCCAGCCAGGAAATGGGTCCTTAAGAGTACTTATCACCATTGTTGGCCTTAGGATGACAAGAGGGAGGTCGCCCTTGGAGTCGAGAAGTGCCATCTCTGCCATTGCCTTAGTGAACGTGTAAGTGTTAGGCCATCCATAGTACTTCGCCCTGAATTCATCAAGTAATAACAACTTAAAAAATAAAATAGTTAAAGAAAAAAAACCCAACTTTAAAGAATAAATGAAGAGAAAAATCTGAAGAAATATTATTCCATTACCTTTCCAGGCCGAGATTTCGCATGTCAGAGGCAATTTCTTTGTGGGGAAGTTTTTTGGAATGGAGTTCTTGCAGTCTGTTTTGGAGAAGCTCAGTTTCACAATTCAATACTTCAGCAATGTTGTTGTTATTTCTTGCTCTTCTCCATCTTAGCGGCTTCTCCATTAGAAGTCCTGGCTCTTCCCCATAAACGTATGCTGGTGATCATAATTGAAAAACATTGGCATAGTTAGAAAATGAAGAAAAATTGAATCCTTAAAGTTCATATATGGCAAAAAGATCGAAAGTTTTGGTGTTATTCATACTCAATTTACTTTGTTCGAATCAGGTTTGAGTAATATTACTTTTGAAGCAGATCAATGCCGGAGTACCAGTTGGAAGAGGAGGGGGAAAAAAGAGGATATTCGAGACCCAACTGATCAGGTTTGGTACATGGTAAATTAAGCTGTTTCATTTGATTATTGGGTTTGAAAATCAATGCGTCGAATTTAGGTTTAAGACTTTAAGTTGGATACTGCTCGTAGTTGAGATTTGCTTTTGATTTGGACCTAATTAAATACATTTTTTTGGGTCCGACCCAAATAAATTGATTCAATTCAAACTCAACACAATCCACTAATAAAGATACATTTGACTTCATTTGTATCCAACTCATAGTGAGTAAGTTACGTATACAATACGTATGTGTATTTTACTTCATTTGTAAACTAATGGTACGTTGAATACTAATTCAATAGTTATAAAATATATAAAATTAATTATCTTAAAAATAGATTTAATAATAGTTAAATCATCAATTTAATTCATTAAATACAAATATAAAACGTGTTATACGAGTTTTATAAGTGTTTAGTACGAGAGTCATCAAAATAACTGGAAAAAAATGAAACGACTTGACAACAATACGTATATGAAAATTTCATACGGATAAAATACGTACGGACATATATACGTGTATTAATCGGAGTATTTACTAACCGTATATGCAACTCAATACTCATACAGACCATGATAATTAGTTTATATATTATTCTTATTTCTGTTATTGTGGTTAAGTAATTTTCTTATTAGTACGTACTTTGCATGCATGGCTATTGGTTAATTACCAGTTGAGACATGGACAACCAACTTGACTTTGGCACATTTCTTCGAGAAGTCTAGCACGTTCAAAGCTCCAAAAGTATTTGTCCCAAGTGCCACATCGTACCTTAAAAAAAAATAATTAAGTGCACAAGCTAGGAGATCGAGTATTTGAACAAAAGAACAATGATTCGAGAGAATTAAAAACAAAGAAAAAAAAAACATCAATCGGCGGTTGTGTATTGTGTTAAAAAGTTATAACCTTTCATCAAACTTGGTGATGGCGGCGAAGTTGAGAACCATGTCAGTTTCTTTCAGAATTTCTTCTTTCAAATGGAAGTCATGAATCCCCAAACCCTCGCAGGAGACATCTCCAACAACAACGCTAACCTTCTCCGAGATGAATGGCTGGAAATTTACTCCCCATTTATCCTTCAAAACCCTAAATACTTCCTTCCCGAGGACCTTTCATAGTTCATACACACATACGTAAAGAAGTAGAAGTAATTTATAATTAATGTAGTTTTGTTTCCAAAAAAAAAACATCAATAATCCAATACATTTGTTTGAACTGTGTTTAAAAAATGTGCGGATCGTGTCTTAATCATGAACCCCTTCCAACACTCTAACTATGCCCCTGATCCGAAGAACTCAAGACGTATTTAATTCAATTCAACACGAATTTTCCCACCGGAAAACCGAGAATCTTTCTCTCTTTTACCTCATCGTGGAAGCGCCTAGTGGCGGAGGGCGGATTGGCAGCTCTCAGAAGAAGGTAGAGCTTCTTGACGTTGGGTTGAATCCTTAGTATCTTCTCCAGAAATACTGGACATGTATACATACGTAGTTTCACAAATTATTGAAGAGAAAGATTTCCCAGAAGTTGAATGCTTAAAAAGAAAGAAGCTAGCCAGGCTGAGAATAATGTTAATTAACTAGTACGTACTCTTTGCAAGAAAGCCAGTGGCCCCAGTCACCAAAACAGTCTTGTGCTCGAATGGTAGCATTATGAATGGCGTTGCAACTTCTTCAGGTAGTGTTAGAAACTGAAAGCTAAGGTTCCAAAGCTTGTGTGTTATAAGCTAACCGCACCCTACCCTCAATATATAGTCCGCACATATATAGCAGACAGTGGCTAGCCATAATTAGAGATGTCAAATTGTCAATCAAACCCACCACCGCGCAGCAGGTACCCAATCGCTTCCGATCGAGTTAAAACGAGAAATTTTCGCATTGATTGGGTGTGGGGTGCCGGGTGGGTATGGGGAAAACTCGTAAAAGGGTTTGGCCTTCCCCGCTGTCACCTAAAATATTTCTTTGCATGTAAAAATATATAGTTCATATTTTAATCTCTCAATGATAGGAAGGATAATTAAGATAAATATATATAAAGAGCTGAAATGTAATTTGGTGGCTACTCAACCCAAAAACGAATTTATTTTCCTCCATTCACCCTTCATTAATATTCTTACACTTCTTTGCCCCTTATTAACAAGATTATGTTAGCTTATTATTGCTTAATAGATGTGTCAGAGTCGGAGATGAATGATTTGGATAGTATTGTACTTTTCTTATGGATTAATGGATGTTTTAGGATTGGATCGATGCTTTGAATTCGTATTAAAAATGGTTGTAGATTTTTATTTTTATTTTGTGACTTATTTAGGTATGGTTAATTAGTGTTATAATTGAAGATGTACATATATATTGAATTCTACGAATAGTAATATTAGATATACGAGACGGATATTACCCACGGTTAAACAACATGTTTGGGGATGAAGTTGCAAATCCTCCCCACATGAGTTTGGGAGATTAATTATCTTTCAAAATTTGTGCGACATCGAAAAGTCTTTCAACTATCAAAATGTTTCCAAACAGTTGCAAAGCAAGGTATAAATAATGAGGAGGAGCTGAAGATAATAAATTGTAACCATTTTCGACTATTGAATCTAAATTTTGAAGGAGGCTATTAGCTCTCATCCTACTACTTTCTATGATTTCTCAAGGTATAAACACAAACATTATAAATTTAGGTAAAAATTTTAGGGGACAGCCCCTCTAGATTATAGGTAACTCTCACTTTTTCAAAACCAATGAATAATATGATTGGATTATGAAGTACTAAATAACTATCGATTTTACATGGTAACCTAATTCCTCTAATTTCTTTATCCAGAGAGCCCTAACTAAATATATCAATAGAATACGTACATCAATTAATCATCAGACTCCCTTTCCTTTTTTTTTTTTTTTAATATATCAGACTCCCTTTCCACTACTCCTGATAATACTCGGTGGTAGCGTGTACTCATTCCCTTTGCTCTTCCTGACTGGGTATTTCTATATACATGTTGTCACCATCAGGAGCTCCAATTCAATGACGGGACATGTCAAAGCTCGTAAAATTAAGGGAGGACAAATTGTCTGGGATGAGATACCGTCACAACCCTTTGTACGCAAGAAATCATCAATACGATAGACTTGTGCCGAATCCCTTAGAGCTACTGAAAGTTCATCATCATCATATCACTTGTATCTTTGAGTATTCCATTCACCATTTTGGTTAGAGTGTCACTATAACATATTGATCAATCGACGTCGACCAACTATCATTTCTCTTTGTCTTAAATATATATATCTATCCTCTTTCTCTTAAATATATATCTATCCATTCATATTTACGTTAGTTTTCTGAAACATTCATGTGTCGCAAATATGTGCGGGAAGTTGGAAATATGACGCGTGAATGAAAAATGCCAATCATGCGTAGGTGTGTGGAACTATACAAGCGTTGTCGTTTGGAGGTGAGTTTTGATTAAGGTGTGCAACGGTTTGGATCGGATCATATTAAACAAGAATATAATGCGTGGTATGATCTTTAGCTTTCACAGATTTTATGGGGAAAAAATGAAACGAATTGATATTTGGACTGAACCAAATTGAAACAAATGATTTTGATGAATCAAATAGGAAAATATACATTCGCCGAATAAGTAAATCTATCAAATACAAATTCATTCACTTCAAATTACACCACCAACCATTATTAATTCTAAAATCGCCAAGTCTAACTATTCTCAAGTCTAATTTATACGAGTGCTCGTATTTTTCCTACTTGTGTTTGCTCATATTCATCACCATAGGAGGACTCACTGGAATAGTCCCGGCAAATTCTGGGCTAGACATTGCTTTACATGATACTTATTATGTGGTTGCGCATTTCCATTATGTACTTTCTATGGGAGCCGTTTTTGCTTTATTGGTGTGGAAGAGCTGGTCCTCGATATGGAAAGGTGGGCCGATTCTTTATGCCTTCTCGCCTGCCTTGAAGATGAACCAGCCACCATCACCAGCTTCTCGCCAACCGTGCTTCCTACCAACTCCGCCAACCCCAGACGGTCCTATTGATTTTTAGCACCGGAACCCGCAACTGCTGCCTCTACTCCGACAGCTACTGACTTTTCTGATGAATCTTCGCTTGCTTTTGCCAATGGAATTCTATAATAAAGAAGCTGTCCTACGAATTGCACAAAGAGCTGGCACCCCCATCAGACTGGATAAGGCAACAGAGCTGGGAGCTAGAGGAAGATTTGCCCGAGTGTGCATTGAAGTCGACCTCACGAAGCCGTTACTACCTGCTTACAAAATTGGAGGAGTCGAATATACTCCCCAGTATGAAGCCCGATTTCAACATAGAAAGCATAGATTTGCGTCGCCTACTTGCTGAAAGCAAAAATGGAATGGAATTCTATGATAAAAATAAAGACTTCCTTCTTGCTCGAGCTATGGCTGCTGTTAGGAGCTCGTGTGCCGTTTTTTTCATGATTGATTCTCTGGCTGTCTGAGCGGTTGCGCCTTTCCTCTTTCTGTGTCCTTTCGCTCCTGCTCACTTCGTTCGAGACTTCTAACATTTCCTTGTTTTTGGGTTCACTGCCCGCATGTTGTCCGTCGCAACATGATTTCCAACAATTACATTCTTCATCGATTTCAGCACATAATCAAGCAAATAAGTATCACCAATATGCATCCGAGCCGCATCTCTTACATCCTGCCGAGTCATTCCTCCCTCAGCCTCCCTGCTATTGCTAAATGAGAATGTGGATTCGAATACCTCCTTTTTGTGCTTTGCTTTCTTTATCTCGCTTGCCGTTAGTCCGTCTAGCGCCTTTCGGTTGGGTCGAATGCACGTTACGAAGGGTGGCAATTAGAAAACCTTTTTCTCGATACTCTTCGTGCGGACAAGGTAGTCTAATCAATTGGAGAGTGTTCCACTCACTTTGCCGTCATCATGGGAAGGCCCTGTCGTCTTTCTTATTAAAGACAGGCTGCTCCGGCGGTCTGGAATTCCTTCCCGACACCTCCCAAGCAAAATCCCGAATTGGATCCCAAATTGACGGGTTAGTGTGAGCCAAGCACGAATACCCTCGTTTAATAGAATATTTTTGGTGTAGAAAGTATCAAATTCCGGATCTTCCGCTGCGCGCTTCTTCTTGCATAGAAGAACGCAACTTTTGCAAAAACCGGGATTTTAGTAGTAGGCGGCATCCCCTCTTAGTTTTGAGTAAGTGGAACCATTCTGTTTTGGTTCTTCTCCACATTCTTACCGGGCGGTCCAGGAACGGAAGTAGTGATGGTTTGTTGCATTATTTGTGGTAATTATCTCTCTGAATGGGTTACCTTTTGGTTAAAAAAGGTATATTTTGTGATGTCGTTAATCGCTTCACTCGCTTCTGTCAGTATGTGTACTGTCAGTATAGCTTTTAGCACCAGCCTTCCTCTGGGCCTGCCCCTCTTTCAACAAACTTGCTTGCTATCCCAGCGCGTCTATCCTTAGTTGTCGTGTGACGCAAACGAGAAAACGTTAGGCGCTAACGGGTGGCTTTCGCTCCTCAAAGATGAGAAGCGGCTCGCGCCTATCTTATCTATAGGATTCTCGGCAAAGAACCAATTATTGATGATGATCGAAGAGAGCGCTTCATCCTGGACAACCCTGGTCAACTTTCAATTGAGCATCATGCTTTTTCCCACCTACCTGACGCCGTCCTAACCATGGAGGAGGCTCAAATGTTATCTTCTCAAAAATAATACCTAAATCCGTAAACTCTATTTTGTGAGGCGGATGCCGATGTGAGGCTAATACAAAAAAATTCCCCATACGGGCAAAATTGGCCGAAAAGTATTTTATTTGAAGATATCCCATAAGCAACTGAACTACCCTACGTATTCAGGTGAGCTGCTTTAGCTTGAGCAAAGTGTTTTTGAACTCGTTAAGAAAGTTTGATTCGCTCCTACCTGTCTTTCGCCGCAGGTCGATATTGGAACGTACGACAAACCACAACCTATTCACTTCTGCCGAAATGAGAAGATACATATACATTAATATGGTAAAGAGCCTGTCGTGACATATTCAACTTCAGCTTCCGCTTCACTAAACGTAGTTGACCCAATTGCATCAAGCAGCGCCCTACAGTCAACTCACCTCACATCGAGTCCTTCCTCTTCTCCAGGATCGATAAACCTTTTGGATCTTATTAACCAAAGAGATACGACTTTGCACGATAGTTAGCTGAGCACCAACCAAGAA